TCTTCTTCTTCTTCTTCTTCAAAAACGTTATTATATCCTTAACCTTTACGGGCGATAATATTTCGAACACAATAAAGCGACGGTTGCGCTGCCCCATAGAAAATACGTACAACGCAATTGAACTCGTCTTCCTCACTTTTACGAAAAGCTTTCCAATGAAAGGGCCAAAGGATGCCTTGCCGCTGCATACCATCCCAAATTGTGTGCATGAATTCACGTGCACTTGCGGATGCATGTAAATTGGGCGTACGCAGAGCAACTGGCAGCCAGGGCCGCTAAGCACTTGCCTAATTGGCTTTTCAAACAAGAAAATAGAGTAGCACGGTCCTCTATTACTAAACGTCTGCTAGACGGTGGTCACTTTGTCGACTTTGTTGCTAAGTCCTTGTTAGAGCATTGACAAATCGGACCCCCGTGCTACTTGGAAGCAGCCTACATACGGTGGGAGAACCCCAACCTATGCAAGCATCTAGACTATGTGGTTAATCACCAAGTATCCTGGTAATTGGGCGCCTAGATGTAATCAGGACTATTTGATTTTCGTTAACCTCCCCCCGTTTACTCCTATATGCTGATTTAATGTAATATCCCTTATATGATTATTTTTCGCAATGAACTGTGACTCTCGCTGTTATGCATTAACATTCTGTGAGAATTGAAACTGCTGTAGATGCAGTTGAAAAGCCGCCGCGAAATGTAGTAAATTCCATAAATCCTGCTGCCCATGCTTCGTACTGGGGAAAAAATGCTTAAGTGCAGTCAATAAGGTAGCTAAGAAGAATTGGAGACAGAATAAACCTCATCGAAAGTCTGACAGACAGACAGACAGACAGACAGACAGAGACCAATGGCGTTTTGCCCGGTGTTGCAAATTCAAGTACCCAGCTGCATACTGGCGACAAATTAACGATCAGAACGTTTTGGTGGCGAAGGCAAGGGCCTGCACAACACGACCGGCTTGCGATGGAAAATAAGCAAAAGTATGATCATTTAAAATTACTTGTCGGTAACAGTTCTCGACCAGTTCCCTTGTAGAAAAGAGCGAGATTTTTACAATAAACACAATGCCAACTCCCAGGTTGCAGCTCACGCGATGGGACCCGGCCATATTTTCAAGTTTAACGAGGCCGAAATCCTCGCAAGAGGTGACAACCGCATGAGCCGCGAACTACTTGAGTCATGATTTTCAGGCCCCCAGTCCATCAAAAAGTGCAACGATTTGCCGTTCCCATACTGCGTACTGAGACATTGCCTGAGCAAGACAGTCAGTCACGTGGGAAGGGCCGGGTCCAGAAAAACTCTGACCCCAAGCGGTAGCTACAGGAGCTGTCGATTATAGTACGCATACAGATGAACGCTACGAACTATAAATACCATGCAATCTGTGCCTGTATCACCCCCATCTGCGTATGCCTCAGACTATCCTACGATTAAGGATTCTCAACAGAATCCGAAAAGTGATGAAAATAAATTTCTTGTTCCAGTGATTGCAACATCTTCTTCTTCTGAATTAACACAGTTTACGTCTTAGTCAGTGTCGGTCTCATGATATTTTAACCGAAATTCGCAAATGAGTTTTCGATTAAGGAGGACGACTTAAGTGGGGTTCTAATATTGATATTCATGCAGCATAACCTCAAGATATTTCAGTCACGAAAGGAGTCTGGCCTTTAAACGAGTCTCTTTTCTCAGCCGTATGCAAAGACTAGCATTCGATAGAAAGTGGCTACTCGATACACCTGTAAATGCAAACAAGTTTTATAAAAACTATGGACAACAATATTCCTTTTAATACCCAGTCAGTAGAAAATTAAGTTTTCTGAAAATTTAATACAGTGGAACCTCGGTGAACGAGTTTAATCCGTTCGAGCACCGAGCTCGTCATGTGAAACGTCCGTAGTGCTGAAAAATACGCTCAGCCGAGAAAAGAACGTGCTGAGTCGGGAAAATGCCTTGGTAATAAATGAGCACAAGAGAGGGTATAGTTGTCCCTGTCTTCTAAAAAAGCATAAGCAACAGTAGTTTAAGTAGTGCACCTCATATACCCTTAGTCCCAGCATTTTGTCCTATGGAAACGGTTGCTGCAGGGGTTTTATGGGTGGGGAGTTAGGATAGATCGTGAAATATACTTTAATAACTGCTATATACATTTTTATTTTATTGTATTTATATACGTCGTTGGTTAATATCTGTAGATTTTCCTAATCTGAATTATCGTTCAACGGATTGGAGAAAAACCCGATGATCAAAATGTAGGTTTCTTGAAATTCCCGAAAAAAAATGTAA